AAATCCACTTTCTTTTGGTCTCCGATAATTCTTCAATGGCGAGATATTCGAATCTCGCCATTTTTTTTTCCGCGTTCTGTTTCTTAGTGAGTCACTGTATATGCAGAACAACGTATCGTGATTGAATCGCAGTTTAGTCGTAGTAGAGACACAATGTGGACCAATAAGCATTTGCGATTATTACTCGACGAGAGAAAAAATAGGAACGTCGAATATTACGACATTGCGGGAAGTAGTAGGATGGATTTCTGGGATAGCGTTGCGAACAAGATAAACGGGCAATTTAGTACTGCATACACTGGGTATCAATGCAAGTCGAATTCCAAAATCTTGTAAGAGACCATAATATAAGTATAATAATTGGCGGGATTAGAGCTCAGGACGGAAATATGTAAGTAATTTTTATTATTTTAAATTATTTTTTAGTTTAATTTTAACGATTAATTTTTTACAAACTCTAAGAAGACCAGATCCGCTTTTAAATGGCTCATTAATATCTGCTATTTCTATATCATATTTTCTATAAATCATGGAAAGTAAAATTTTTAATTCTATTATTGCCCATTTTCTTCCTGGACAGATTCTAATTCCACCTCCCCATATAGTAAAAGAATCTTTAATATGTTGTCTTTCAAGTAAATATTTCTCACTTTTTTCAAGTTCGTAAAATCTATCAGGATCGAATTTTTCGGGATCAGTCCAATAATTCTTATTTTTCATTATTACACCATAAAGCATTTGAAATGAAGTTTTTTCTGGCCAACTGATCCCTCCAATCTCATCCTTTTCAACATTTACACGAGGAATTGAAAAAGATATAGGATGATAACGATGTACTTCTTTGATAACCGCGTCGCAATATCGTAACTCATCAAGATCTTTAGATGTTATGGGCGTTGTTAAGTCATTTCCAAGAACAGTTTCAATTTCTTGTCGTATTCGTTGCTTTACTTCAGGATAAGTTTCAATATGATATATGACAAAGCAAATTAAATTTGACATCTATCATTTCAAAGATTTAATAAGAAATGAATTTTAATTTTGAAAGTAAATGCGTTTTTTTAAAATAAATTTCAATTTTACTTACAGTACCTCCTCCAAGCAAGGAATCGAATACATTTCCAAAAATCTCACTTTCAGTCATTGGTCTTAAAAAATCGGCATTGCCATGTTTCGCAAAATTGATATCCCTTGGTGTATTTGCTGTTAAATATGACGTTAACAAATCGTGACGAAGAGGTTGATTTAATGGTGTATTCTCAATTTCAATTCTTCTTTCTTTAATAATATTGTTGATTTTATCAAACAAATAATTTCTATTTTTCAAAAAACTATCAATTCGTCCACGAATAAATGGAACGTAATGGCGAATAAACTTATTAAAAATAAAAAAATAAATTAACCCTCTATCGAAGATTTCAAGTGATTGAATAAATCTTTCAGTTTCTTTTTCATTTAAAGATAAAGAATCATTATGAATAAGTGTACTATAATAGCAAGCAACAGAATTATTTTTCACTCCAGTTAAAATTTCAAAAACAATTTCATTGGTAAATCTATATATCCATTTTTTAAGATCTAATTCTCTATTTTCTTCAAGATTATTCCAATAAGATTCCATTTCTTCATATAATCCAATCGTCCGTTCAATAACTTTATAACTAAATTCCGGAGTCATCATAGCTTGAGAAACAAAATGGCGATTATACTTCCAAGATTCATAATCAGTATTACGAGAGATTCCTGACCCGTTCATTCCATATTGCATATATTCCATAAAACCTTCTGTAACAAGATTTCTAATAGGATATTTACTTTTTGAAGGCATATTCATCTTTTTAATTAAATCTGCTCTACATAATATGATTATACGTTGCCCTGCCAAATGAATTTCGTACATATCTCCATATTTTTTATGCAATGACGCCAACCAATCAATATGTTCAAATCCAATTCTTTGATGAACGTTACCAAGAATTGGAAGCGGAAATGGACCAGGTAGAGGATTGGGACGAGTGAAGTAATGATAATAGTATAAGGTTGAATAGATAGCTATAATAGCTATCAGAAGAGAAAAAGCACCATAATTTATGAATGAAAAAATAATTGTAGATATTATTGATATCATTCTTCGTGAAGTTTAAAAAAACTGAATTGTTTTGGAGTGTTATATATATGCTCGTTTGTGACCTTGATAGCCCTATGAAAAACCAGTCATTAAAGTATCATGTATATTGCATCGGAAAGATACGTTTGTTGATTGATTATCTGAATGACGGTTTTTCATCTCCGATAATTAGAAATTCTGCATGCATGTGTGACGATCTGATTTTTACGATAAACCAAATTCGAATTAATTGATTCCAAAAACGAATGAGTGGTAATATAGACGTAATACAGATATTCGAAACGGTAAGTGCCATTACTTCGTAATACATGTACATGTACTAACGCCATGACGAAAAACTTTGCACAAAGAAAATGCATATGCCACAATCGAATTCAGAATTTATACATGTAGTAACAATCAGCAGGTCACACGATTAAATCATGGATGCAGAAGTTCCATGACCTTCGAATTTATTCCCTAAATCTACTATTTCCATACCTAAATAAAACCAGAAATGGGCGGAGGAAACGTTTTAAAAGGGCAGTATATCTAGTTATGCTTGTTCGTCGCTGCTTCTTACCCGCATTATTTTAAAATTTGTTCTAACATGTCTGTGTTATAAGACACCATTTGCAATTTTCTTCGTATCGCATCTCCGGAGCATATTACAGCAATTAAACCGAAGTCATATCAAAAGCCATGTAAGCCCAGGGTTGTTCGTTATACGTATTGATCCTCAGACACATGGGGGTATCTCTTCGAGTCTCAGTTCGAAAGAATATATGTATCATGTGATTTATCATCCATGTATTGGCCACACCCAGTTGGTAATTTTGCAAGATAGAAATTTGACGGTTTTTGACACAATTATACATAACAACTAGATCTAACATAAATTCTTCTGATGACGCCTTTAAAGAAGTATGTAGTCTCTGCGATTTCAAAGTTGCAGGACAAGATCTACTCACCGAGAAGATTGAAAATAACTTGCGAATATTGAAAGAGAACCTTTAAAAAAGTAAAGCTCGATACGTCAAATCTTTATGAAAGTGTGTAGGTAAGGTTAAATCTTCAGAACTTTCATGGCGCGACCCACTCGTAAGCCAGGTTCTCAGCAGTGAAATGGAGATGGTTAAGCAATTACCGAAAGAAGAGTATGAGTTTTTTATGGTAAGAACAGAATAATTTATTTTTGCGTGGTAAAGTTTATGCTTAAAATGGATATATTACTAGAAACTGGTAAAATACATGCAAGCACCTCTTCCTCCTTCAATCAAAACAATATGCGATGAATTCGTAATAAACTACGATGATGGTACTATGGAGATCCCTCCTCAAAAACTTCACATGAAAATTGGTGGGAGAGGGGAGAGATTCTTAGGGATATTACAGTTAGAATTCTTGATACTCTGTAAGTATAACATTATATGCTATTAATTTTTTATATTATGGGGGAGATTTGGAAAAACCCAGCTTTTAGCTCTAAATTTACTAAAACGCAGAGTGAGGGGACATATGTAACAGATATTATTGTCCCTATCATTCGAGCCACACTAAAAGATCTACCAATCAGAAAATCTGCATATATCAGCACGTGAGTAAACTCCCTTATTTTTTCTTCTAAGAGTATTCTATTTACATTTCTTATATTACAGGACAGAACGTCAAAGTGTGACTAGCTAAGATAGAAGAGATGAAAGAGGAAAACGTCCAGATATTATGTTCATATTTAAGCATGAGGATAGAACCTATGAATTAATATTTGCTGAATGTTCACGTATTGTTTGTGCTGGCACAAAAGAAGATGATGATAGAGTGAAACTGTAGCGGGAACTTAATGATGGCTTATATTTGACGAATAAGGGGTGTAGCTTGGATGAAAATGAGTTCAGCATTCTTGGGTTCCAAGTTGCTGGACAAAAGTCTATATGTTCTTATTTGAGATCATAAAGATATAAGTCATCTCTTTCTTTTATGATCTGTAGATATCCCGACACAATATACAGATGACAAAAAAACTGTATTTGAGTTTGTAATGACTTTGTTGTTGCTACGAGTATGTATTTGTTTATATTTTTATTCCACACCATTCACTAACTTTTTTAATTTCATCACATGCTATTGACTTTTCACCATTCATTTGAAAGTATACTCTAGTGTAGTATTTATCAACATATTTTTCAC